GTGCAAACAAACAACTTCCAAAAAATATGAAAAATGATAGAAACAGCTGGCTGCCTGGACAGTCACCTAAGGTTCCTCTGCAACATTGTGGCATCCATCTTCAGCCTACAGGCTTAACATATCTGACAGACTTTTCTGTGAAGCAAGATTTTCTGAAGGATTGTCCTACCTTGTCTTGGCAAGGTTTGTGAGTCCTTTCTTTTGTGTCTTGCTTGCCCATTCGGACTGCATACTGTCAGCATTTGATGTAAGGGCATTTTCTTGCCTAGTGCTAACTTTTGCCGCAAAGAAAGTAAACTCCATATGGAGTTACTCCGATGCCCATCATTTCCTCTGAAGTAGATTGATTCTGCCAGGAGCAGACATATCCCATAGTCACAAAAAAAGAAGAATCTATGTTATTAAAACATCTTAAGGGCTGGGGATTTAGCTCAGTGATAGAGAGCTTGCCTAGCAAGCGCAAGGCCCTGGGTTCGATCCTCAGCTTAAAAAAAAAAATCTTAAATGCCATATTCTCTCAAATATTATTATTGGACCAGCCTTAATAATATTCTTCCCAGGGGGTCCAGAAGAGAAACTATGAACGGTGAGAATTGTTTTCAGGGGAAAGAATCTACGTACACCATGCTTTTTGTCCTCTATGACAAAATTCTATCTATACAGCTTCAGCTCCGTCCTCACACTCAGCTCCTCTCTGTGCCTATTTTTCCTGTCCTCATAGTTTCAGTAAACTCCTATGCTTTTGACCTCATCTTCATCCTCTGTTCCTTCGTCCTCCATCTTTCCTTCCTCGCTCCTTACTCCTGGCTCTCAGAAAACTCTATAAGAGATCTGCCTTACCCTTTACAGAATCTCTGTCTTCCTCTCTTCTTTCTGGCCACATGGTTCTGTCTGCCATCTGCAGAAAAACTACCTTCTCCTTTCTCTCCTAGCCACTTGATTCCCTGCCCCCAGGAATTATGCTTCACTTTTTACTCCAACTTTCTTTGTTCTGAGTCAGTAGCTCTGGAATGCCACTAGGCCAGAAGACAAGGGATGATCTCAGCTTCATTTACACAAGAAGCAAAGCTATGCATCTATAGCCTGCCTGTCTCCTAGACTCAGCCTGGGAGTTTGTTACCTAGAGGATCAGCAGGTCTGAGAAGCTGAACTGTTTGCCAATATGGTCTAGTAGTAGTATATGGGCCCACAAGAATTTCATAGCAGAAGACAGCTGAAATATTAAAAAAAAAAAAATATTAAACAACACCAATATCGGTGATAGATGACTTCTTCTAGAAAAATTCCTTGAAATTTCTAGGTATAACTTTATTATTTTTTTTTTTTTTTTTTTTTTTTTTGGTTTTTCGAGACAGGGTTTCTCTGTGTAGCTTTGCGCCTTTCCTGGAACTCACTTGGTAGCCCAGGCTGGCCTCGAACTCACAGAGATCCGCCTGGCTCTGCCTCCCGAGTGCTGGGATTAAAGGCGTGCGCCACCACCGCCCGGCTGGTATAACTTTAATATACAGCTGAATCTCTATAATATATTCTTGCAGCCCGGAAGAATATTCTGCAGATTTCTGAAGTGTTTGGAGATGATCTATCTAAAATATATCTGCAGCTGGGTGGTGGTGGTGCATGCCTTTAATCCCAGCACTTGGGAGACAAAGGCAGGCAGACCTCTGTGAGTTTGAGTCCTGCCTGGTCTACACAGCAAGTTCCAGGATAGACTCCAAAAGCTACACAGAGAAACCCTGTGTCAATAAACAAACAAACAAATAAATAAAATAAAGTAGATCTGTTTGACCTTGAAAACATACCTAACCTGACTATAAATTAGATTGTAATACCTAACTACTAACTTTCATTTCTTTATATCCTAATTAATTTGTGATAATACCTTTCAAGGACTAGCAATTTGCATTATATTGTTAAATGAACTGTATAGGTACAATATCTTCAACAAGAGTAGAAATATATGTACAGTGAATTCTAACAAATTAATCTCAAATTTTTATCAATATACACAATTTGTGTATAATATACAAGAATCCAATCCAGTGTAAATATTTAAAATTAATAGTTGCTTTTTAAAAGTAAATTCAATAATCTACCTTTTTGTCTTATCATATTTATACTCTCTTTTTTTCTTTTCAGCGTAGATTCAATAATCTATCCTTTTATCATATCATTTCTATATAATACATTTCTATATCATATCCCCCTTTCTTTTTTTTAGAAAGTGATTGACTATAACCAGTAACAATTTTTAACCAACCCCTAAAACAAAGACAAACATCCATAATCCATTTTTTGGGAATGTGGGTGTAGTTTTCTAAGCTACTTCCTGATGATTGGGGACACTGGTAGTCTTATGGGAATACAAAGAAAATTGAGGATTATGGTCAGTCCTGACTGGAGTAGTCTGTGAGGCTATATCATCTCAGCTAGCCATCTTGATATTGTCCTGAGCAGTTTGTACTCTAAAGCTGATCTTTGGGTGGTGTTTGTCAGCGTGGTGGCATTATCACTGTCCTGATGGAATCATTATTGTGGGGTCTCATCATCTTTTTGGAGACTTGAAAGTCACTGTTAGGTGTGGTCATGGTTCTTTGCAGAAAATCTTTTTCATGGGCCATTTTTTTCTGGATGATTTGTCCTTTTTCTTTAGATGTCTCATTTGTCCAGTGGTCTTCAGATTCCTTAACCTTCATTCTCCTGAAAGACAAAAACAAAACCCTTCCCCAATCCTAACTTTGGGGAGGTTCCATTTTCTAATTTTTATCAGTTTTGATTCATAGTTTCTCTTGATTTTTTTTTTCTCTCTTCTATAGCTGTGCTATCATCCAGAGTAGTATGGTTTTTTACAATAGGCATTAGGTTCTTTAATTACTCTGGGATGGAGTTTCTTCCATGGTGACAGGAAAGGACTGAATGGAATTTGACATGGGGGCCTGTGAGAGGCCCCTCCTGGTATTTCTTGACACATTCATTAGTCCAGTGTCTGCCTTTGCCATACCTTCTACATAATCCAGAAGGGAAGGGCATTCTGTTGGGATTATTCCTTGAAAAAACATTGTTTCTAGGAATGCCCTGTTTACAGTCCCTTTTTAGGTGACCTTGTTTTACGCAATTGAAATATCTGACATTACTATTTTTCTTCAAACCTCTGGAAATCACCTCTTCTATCCAAGTATTATCATGGTCATGAGATTCAACATTTATTGTATCTTGAATCCATTTCTCCAAGGTTGCCAATCTTGCTTTTAATGGCCTAATTACCCTTTTGCATTGTGTGTTAGCATTTTCAAAAGCCAGGGATTCAATTATTGTCTGTCTAGCTTCTGAATTTGGTATCATTCTAGTTACTGCTGATGTCAGTCTTTGTAAGAAATCAGTGAAGGTTTCTTTTGGGCCCTGTATAACTTTTATAAATGATTCAATTTTCTTTCCTACTTCTTCAGTTCTGTCTTAAGCATTCAAGGCTGCCATGTGGCATAAAGCCAGGGTGTGGTCATCATATAAAGACTGTCTTTGTATATAGGCATAATCACCTTCTCCAAGAAGTTGATCTTGGGATATTTCAATAGCTCTAACCCTACTTCATTGTTCAATGGTCTTAACTTCATCTTTCCACCAGGTCCTCCATTGTCATTGGGGACTAGCCTCCAAAACTGCTGTAACCAAATCTCTCCAGTCTTGAGGGATAATTCTATTACAAGTTGACCACAAATTTAACATCTGCTTCACAAAAGATAAATGGATGCCATATGAGACTATTGCTTCTTTGAATCTCTTCAAATCTAACATTTGCACAGGAATCCATTCAGCTCATACACAGTCTTGGGGATATCTGTTATTTGGTAGTTCCTGTAAGGTTACTAGATAAATTAAGGTTGTCTGTTTGAAAGCCTTAGGCTGTTTCTCTGTAACCTTATAATGCAATGCTGAAATTAGTTCTTCAAATTTCTCTATCTGGGTCTGATTATCTCTATGATCTGTTATAATAAGTTTTTCTAAAGCTTTTATCTTGGCACTCATGTTAGCCAGCTTTTTAAATGATAAAACAGAAATGATCAAACAAATAATATTTATAATTGACATTACATAAATCCCATCAACATTAATTATCCTCTCATTTAATTGTTCCATTTTCAGACCATAAATCATATTATCAAACAGAGAGCAAACTTCCTTCATTGTAATAGTGTTTCCCATTTTTTAATGTGGGGAAAAAACTTTCTTTTATCTAATTCCTCCCTTTAAGAAATCCCAATTGACTCACCAAAATCGCTGACTATGACATTTCAGATAATGGTGTGACAGCAGCCCAAGGAGGGGGCCCAGAGAAAGCCAAAACCCACCAGGAGAGGAAAGAAGTGAACGATCCAGCTGTCTGCACAAGGAAATGTGCAAAAGCATCTAATTTCTGTGGTTTTTGGAGTCCAAAAACCTATAGAGTTTGCTGCAGAGAGGCTGCCACAAAAACATAGCCAGCAAAGGCAGAGGTCCGCCTGCATCTCTATAAGTTCAAAGCCACTCTGGACTATATGAGATTGATTTGGACTAAGGAGAGAAACAGAGTCAGACAATAGTGGCAGACACCTTTATTCCCAGTACTTGGGAATCACATGCCTTTAATCCCAGCAAGAAAGGTATATAAAGCATGAGGAGACAGGAACTAAAGGCTTTTTTGGCTGGAGGCTTTCAGGTGAGGACTCAGAGGATTTTAGTTCGAGGATTTATGGAATTGGTGAGGTGAGACATGGCAGTAGCTTGTTCCTTTGTCTCTCTGATCTTTCAGCATTTACCCCAATATCTGTATCTGTACTGGGTTTTATATTAAAAGACCATTTAACATTCATATTACAAAGGTGTATACCACTACCACCCAGCCTTAATTACACATTTTTTAAAAAAGAAGTCTATAGACTACAGGGTTTCATTTGTATGAACAATATGTGAAGCCTTTGGTCTTTCCTAACACATCTGACTAATGGATTTCTACAATATTGTTACAGAGATCGCCTTACAACAGGTTTCCATGTTCTTCAGATCAGAACCAAAGTGGGAGGTGGTAGAACCACTGAAAGACATAGGTGAGAGGCTAACCTGCCCATTCTGCGAAGACGTCACAGAACTGGACGCCTAGTCATCTCATTGAAGCTCTTTACATCTGTTAACTTCATATTCCTTGTACCTCTCTACTGCCTGAAGTATTGTCCTTAACTTTTAATACCTATTAACCTTGGTTAAAGCTCTGTCAGAGGGCTAGGGTACTGGTAACTTTCAGACCTCTATTCATTCTTCAGTGGTCATTTTCAGTGTCTTATTAACCTTTCCATAAGTATAGTAATTTCTTTGTTTATTATTTTTACAGTATAGCCTTTCCATACAACATTGTTAAGTGATTGGTCTCTACATAGCTGTGGCTAAGATTGCTAAATGTAATTTTGATTAACTATTTAGTGTCAATAAAATTTATATCAACTGTAGCAAAAATGCTGAAACTATAAGCACCTTTCTGCTTCTGTGGCAGGTTGGAGGATAAGGAAGAAATATTTCTTGATGAAAATTAAAAATCAACCAAAGGAACGACTGGTGTTGAGCTGGGTAAGCTAACTCTTTTGCTTTAGTTTATTCCAAGAGATTTAAATAATATACCGAAAGAGAGGTTTTTTGTTTTGTTTTGTTTTGGTTTGGTTTGATTTTTTGAGATAGGGTTTCACTGTGTAGCCCTGGCTGGCCTGGAACTCACTATGTAGACCAGGCTGTCCTTAAACTGACAGAGATCTACCTGCCTCTGCCTCACGAGTGCTGGGATTAAAGGTGTGCACCACCACTATGAAAGAGAGTTTTGGTAAGAGACTCTCAGAACTGTGCCAAACTCTAACATGGTAATATGAGAACTTTCTCAGTCCCACTTTGCAGAGGGCTGTTAAAAACGCCTGGCTATACATTTGGTCAAGTAATATGTGTTCAGAAGGATGTAGGAACAGTCTGGAATTAGGGCTGACAGTTTTGGAGTGGCCTCCAAAGAAAGCTATTGGGCATTACCTCATTCTTTTCTCTCTGGGAGTTCTAGTGACACATTTGGTTATAGGATTGGATGAAATCCTGGTCATATCCTGGCATTCGTATGTATATATACTACCTCTCCAGAAAAGGCCTTGAAGCAGCAGACTTAATATAGTTTCCATATTTGATTTATACTTAAGAATTTGGGGGCTGGAGAGATGGCTCAGCGGTTAAGAGCACTGGCTGTTCTTCCAGAGGTCCTGAGTTCAATTCCCAGCAACCTCATGGTGGCTCACAGCCATCTGTAATGAGATCTGGCGCCCTCTTCTGGCCTGCAGGGATACATGCAGACATTACACTGTATAATAAATAAATAAATAAATAAATAAATAAATAAATAAATAAATAAATAAATCTTTAAAAATATTTGTATAAATAAAATCAGGGTGAAAGACATAAGGACATCTTCTTTTGGTGAACAAAGTGGTGCTCTGATATTTCTTCTTGTATTCCCAGGCTGATCTGGGCCCAGACAAGTACTTGTCAGATAAAGATTTTCAGTGTGTAATCAAACTTCTGCCTTCCTGTGTGGTAAGTACAAGTCCTCCTTGCTAATCAAAGCCAGTGTTTTCTTGGGAGGGAACCTGGATAGAAGAGCTGAAAATACCCTATAGGCTCAAGAGAATGGAAAGGTATAATGGCTATTAGTTCAGACCAGAAGTGTGCAGGGCTACTCCCAGAAACCTGAGGCCCTTTATTAAGCCAGCGTTTGTGACATCTTCATATCCCATCAATTATAGTAATTGAAATGTAGTCTAAATGTAGTCTTTGTATTTTAATCAAATACCAGAGTAGGAAAGAGGCACTTGTCTGAACCTCTTGTTGTTCTTTTGTTTTATTTATTTATTTATTTATTTATTTATTTATTTATTTATTTATTTATTTATTTATTTATTTATTTATTTATTTTTTGAGACAGGGTTTCTCTGTGCAACAGAGCCCAGACTGTCCTGGAACTTGCTTTGTAGACCAGACTGGCCTCGAACTCACAGAGATCCACCTGAGTGCTGAGATTAAAGGCATGCACCACTACCACGCATGAACCTCTTGTTCTTACTGAGTTTTTGATCAGTGGGACTCCCAAGGTCTCTTTCTAGCCCCAGGCTAATTGTTCAGACCTAGGTAACCTGGGTGAAGAAATGGCAAAATAGTCACTTTGCTGTCTGAGTTACCTTTAGTTACCTGTTACAGCTGGCCTTTAAGGAAACATGTATTACTTATACTTAATACACAGTCTTAATCTAAGGCCTTTGTTGGAAGAAAGGACACTGATAGACTCAGAATATGTACAGAATGTCTTTAGCAAAGACTGAAGTCTGGCCTGCAGGTGGGTTAATGTTGACATCTATTCCCTGTTTTCCACACTCTACAGGTAGTTGCTTGTGGGGCGTGCACAGTTACACTGACTTGTCCCCTTAGATTGGCAAGTTTACTTTTGAAGACATCTTGTTAAAGCAATGAGACCAACTTTTAATGAGGTGTGATTTATGTCCAAGAAAAATGCTGTGGGCTTGAGTTCAGTTGATTGTATGACAGGCTTTCAGCACTCAGATTTTGTTGCTGTTGTTTGCAGTAACTGAGTTTGAGCCTAGGGCTTTGTATATGGGGGCAGATGCTCCACCACTGAAGTATGCCTCAGCCATAATTTACCATTTATTTAAAGATAGGGTCTCACTAAATTCCCCAGATTGGCCTTGGACTCACTCTATAACCCAGGCAGGCTTTGAACCTGTGAGCTTCCTACCCCTACCTCTTAAATCTGTTATTATAGGTCTGCACCAGGCCCAGTTAGCACCCACATTTAAATTACTTTTAATGAATGTTTAGAAAACAAAACAAAAAACAAGAAAGAAGGCACTGGAGAGATGACTCAGAGGTTAAGAGCACTTGTTCTTGGAGAGGACCTGGGTTTGATTTTGAGCACCCACATGGTGGTTCACAACCATCCATAATTCCACTTCTAGTGGATCCGTCACCCTCTTCTGACACCCCTGTGGGTACCAGAACACATGTAGTACACATACATAACTGCAAGAAAAACAATCATGCACATAAGATAAAAAAAAATTAAAATACAACAAAACAAGAACACTTGCTTGGTTGACATTTGAGGAAGACACTGAATAGGCATACTGCAAACTTCTGTAGGAGGTCAGGGAAGTTCATGCTGCTGGCTTCTGAAAAAGGCCAAGGTGCCAAAGCACACTGCTCATGCTCCTCTCTAGTTGTGATGTTCCCAGCCTTGGCATCCAAGCAGCAGTGCAGAGCTGTGAGCGGAGACACATTTGTCCCTGTCACCTGCTTAGCTGTTCTGTGACTGAGCTGTGTTCTTTATCAGGTTACATTTTCTCAAAACTCCACCCTTTTCCTCTCATCCACCATGATTTCCCCTAACTCTGGATGCACACAGACGTGTGAGGCCTTCCATGAGGAGCCTCTGACATCGGAGATTTCACAGGAGGCCTTAGCCAGACAGAGCTCCGTGCAGACTGCTCTGTCACTTCTTCCCTCTTTCTCCATCTGAGGGGGGAGCTAGTTGATCATCTAATGACTTGGACGTAGCATGTGTTCAGGGAATGTCACTTTGTACAAGACTAAACCACCGACCTGGTGCTTGACTCTGCATAACCAGATCATGAATCTAAAAGGACCTAGATCCTGATGTGAACCAACCTGAATCTCGTTTTTTTGTTTTGCAGCACCCTTACATATATCGGGTTACCTTTGCCACAGCTAATGAATCCTCAGCATTGCTGATTAGAACCTTTAATGAAAAAGGAACGCTAAAGGATCTGATCTACAAGGTACTGCTTATAAACCGAGTTCATGCTCATGAAGTTCTTTGGTCCCTTAGAGCCTGTTATTGATACTTGATATAGAAAATTCCAGAAGTTAGGCCCCATAAATTTTTAAAAATTATTTTCTTTGCCAGGCAGTGGTGGCACACACCTTTAATCCCAGTACTTGGGAGGCAGAGGCAGGTGGATCTCTGTGACTTCAAGGCCAGCCTGGTCTACATCATAAGTTCCAGGATAGTCAGCACTGTTTCACAGAGAAACCCTGTCTCAAAACAACAACAACAACAACAACAAAATTCTTTGAGATTATATTATTTTCCTCTTCCCCAAGGCCTCATTAATTTTATTTTCATTTTTAAATTTTAAGCAGAGCATGGTGGTACACCCTGAAATCCCAGTTCTCGTAGGCTAGGGCAGGATTGCAAGTTTTAGTCTACATTTGGTTACATAGTGAGACCCTACATCAAAAAAATTAAAACAAGCAGACAAAAATTTAAATCTGATTTTAAAAAACTACCTAGTTTGACTAAAGAGTCTTTGTTTCCCCATGAGGGAAGATAGACATCTGTCACATGGTAGGCTGCTTAGTTGTTAAGGTTTTTTTTTTTTTTTTTTTCCAAGACAGGGTTTCTCTGTGTAGCTTTGCATCTGTCATGGATCTCGCTCTGTAGAACAGGCTGGCCTCGAGCTCACAAAGATCTGCCTGCCTCTGCCTCCCGAGTGCTGGGAGTAAAGGCGTGCACCACCACTGCCTGGCTAGTTAAGTTTTAAAGCTTGTATTTTCATTTAACAAAGCAGTCCTGGAGAATTCTAACAGTAGGCAAGACTTTGGGAATTGCCTAGGGTGAGACCAAGTCTGTAGTCCCTTGGATACAGAAGAAACAGAGCCCAGATCAGCCTACAGACTATTGGATTAGTACAACAACAAAGGCCACGTCCTGTGTGCTGGGGCCCCTGGCACCTTAGTCTCCATGAAGTCTTACCTTTTCAGGAAGCCCCAAGGTAGAAATTGGCTCCTCTGTGACTTTATGTGTTCTTGGTTCCTTTCTAAAGGCAAAGCCAAAGGACCCCTTCCTAAAGAAGTACTGCAGCCCTAAGAAAATCCAGGGCCTTGAACTCCAGCAAATAAAAACATATGGACGGCAGATATTAGAGGTAAGAGGTATTTGATTTTGTTGCACTCATATTTCATCCAGAATTACAGTTTTTTAAAAGATTTATTTTATTTGTGTGTGTATGTCTGCCACATGTGTGGAAGCCTTTGTAGAAGCCTGAAGAGGGTGTCATCCCCTGATGCTGGAGTTACAGGTGATTGTAAGGTACCCAACAGGGTTATGAAGAGCTGAACTTTTGTCTTTGAAAGAACAACGAGTGATCTTAATTGCTGAGCCACTCATTTCTGCAGCCCCTAGAATAACAGTTTTCTTCGGGGAAAGTTCTCAGACACTATCCAAAAACAGAGACATTGTCTTGTTTATCTATAACTTAATAGCATTGCTATATTTTTCCCCAGTAAGCAAATATTTGAAATGAAGGTGGCAATAATTTAGATCTATAAAATTCCAAAAGTTTGGCTATTGGAATTTGGTGTCTGACCTTTTAAGAACTTTACTATGTGGATCTTACCTTTATCTCTATACCAATTTTTTTTTTTTAAACTTCATTACTATTTTCCAAGTGTGGGCATGTAAGCCATGCTATGTGTGACATAAGGTCGGAGGACAACGTTGTAAAGTAGGTTCCCTGTTTCCACCTTCACTTGAGTTCTACAGATTGAACATCTGGTTGACCCAAGATTTTTTTGTTTCTTTTTTCTTTCTTTTCTTTCTTTTTTTTTTTTCCTGAGAAAAAGTATAGCTCTGGCTGTCCTTGAGTGCATTGTGTAGAACAGGCTGACTTTGAACTCAGGGTTCTATATGCCTCTGCATGCTAGAATTAAAGGCATGTACCACCATCCCTGGCCCCATATGTCTTCTTTATAGAACTGTAAAGGCTTTTTTGGACTGGATGGCTATATAGCTCATCAGGATAGTATGTTTAGTGTCGAAAGGTACAAAGTAATTCTCAAGGCTAAGAGAGAAATGGAGATAGGGAGAAAATAGTGCCAACTTTGGCCATGTCATCCTCTCTACATAATATCCTCTAGGCTTCTGAGATTGCGCATACCCATCAAGAGATTTAAGCATAATGCTATTCCCATGTTATATATATGTGTGTGTGTGTATATGTATGTATAGATAAATAGGTAAGTAGATATATACATACGTGTTTTGGTGTAAGGGTACACTTGTCTATGCACACACATGTGGAGGCCAGAGGTCAACAGCAGGTATCTTCCCGTTATTGTCCACCTCATTTTTTTGAGATAGAGTTTCTCACTGAACCTGGAATTCACCAATTACCGAGGCTAGTTGACCAATAAGCGCCAGGGATCTACTTGTCTTTCCCTTCTGCCCCAGAGCTGGAGTTACAAAACAACCAGGGATACACAGACAAACCTTGTCTTGAAAAAAAAAAAAAAGTGCCCCCCCCCCCCACCATCCTGAGACAGGGTTTCTCTGTATAGCTCTGGAGCCTTTCCTGGAACTCACTCTGTAGCCCAGGCTGACCTCGAACTCAAAAGATCCATCTGCCTCTGCCTCCCGAGTGCTGGGATTAAAGGTGTGCACCACCGCCATCCAGCACCCCCACAAATATTTAAAACATGAATTTAACCTATGTTATATAGACATGAATTGGGAACAATTCAATGTGCACATTTTTTAATAGGTACTAAAGTTTCTCCATGACAAAGGATTCCCTTATGGCCATCTTCATGCAGCTAATGTGATGATGGATGGCAACACTTGCCGACTGCTAGATCTTGAAAATTCCTTATTGGGTCTTCCTTCCTTCTACCGATCCTACGTCACACAATTCAGGAAAATCAATGTAAGTTGTGACAGTCATGACAGGTCTGTGTTTAGGTACAGATCACCCTAGGCACTATGCAGTGAAAAATACAGTTAGAGTGTACCTTGTTCCCATTTCTCTCATGGAGCGTTGCTGGATCTTTAAGAGGCAAAGATGAAATGGTGGGTGAGACAAGGAAGTGAATAGAATCATTGATTGAAAATGACCGGGTTTGGGGATTTAGCTCAGTGGTAGAGCGCTTGCCTAGTAAGCACAAGGCCCTGGGTTCAGTCCTCAGCTCTGGGGTGTAGGGTGGGGGAGGTGAGGGGGAGAAAATGACCTATTGGTTAAATCAGAATAATGCCTTGTGAGCCTTTGAAAAAGACTTTGGGGTTTCATTGGGAATGGGGCTGCCCCTGAGCCTTGTTTCTCAGTGGAAGTCTGGGCAGGAGAAGTGAGGCCAATGACTGAAGGTTGGACATGACACTGCTTTTTCTTCCCCAGACACTAGAAAGTGTAGATGTCCACTGCTTTGGCCACTTACTGTATGAAATGACTTATGGACGACCTCCAGACTCCGTGCCTGTTGACTACTTTCCTCCTGCACCATCCATGGCTGTGGGTCAGTATAGAGCTTGGGAGTGGGGTCTGCTGGGACCTGGTAGTTTGCAGAGCTACTTAACCTCTTTCCAAAGTCCAAGAAAGATCCAAAGGAAGTTGTCATCCTCCACAGACAGAGCACACATCAGTGAACATTCAGATGGCTTGTCTGTCTGTTCAGGTGTCTGAAGCCTTTGGCGAAACTTCTGTAAACTGCATTATAATTCTGGAAGCAGGAGGATGGAAAGAGAACTATGGCCAGCTTGGGATTTAATCAGAATCATAAGTCAGGCAACTTGAAGTCAGACTTGAGGAGCTAGTCAAGTGTCAGAGTCCCACCCAGCTAGAGTGGGAGTTGGAAGGAACTTGAGAGCTGTGGCCTAGAAAATAAGGGCCTAGCCATCCCAGCCAAGCCTCCAGATTCTCATGTAAGTGTGGTAAAGGAGCTGTTGACCCACAGCCTTACCTAAGGAGACTAAGGAGAACCGAAGGACAGATGAGGCATTAGGACTGATGTAAACTCATCTCAGACTCACCCTCCCATCTTCTGAATGGACAACTCAGAGCTCAAGGCTGGAAGAAAGAGGGCCCAAGGTAGCTTTTGGAATGCTCTGTTTGGCATACGTAAATCAATCCATCAAGTTTCACTGTGCCAAATGAGGCAGTTCAAGAGAACAGATCCTGCGACTTTTTCTTGCTGAGTTTGAACCTGTGAGTAGGAGACTCTAGTCACTCGCTTATAGCATGGTGTTGGATGATGCAGGGTCAGCAGCTGGCACTTTGTGTGCTGGTTTCCATTAAAAGCAAACAAGCAACAAAATCTTTCAAGTTCAGAATTTTGCTTCTCTCTAAAAAGAACAATTGTATGAATACAATCTTGATGCTTCCCTGCATTTATCTTTGAGTATACTTAGCTTTCTGTGAGCATGTGGTTTCTGAGGCATTTCTTTTGAGTCATTGAAAATGCCAGCATTTCCCATCCCTCCACATATGCCATCTGTCTGTATGTGAAGAGTTTTTGACACTGTCCTGATCAGCCTGCAGACAGTTGTTACAAAGAGATGTCAAACTTTTCCTCAGCAAGTGGATCCTCGAGAGAGTGTTCTGTGGAACTAAAATGTGTATCTGTTCATTTCAAGTGGCCGTGTTGGAGTCTACGCTGTCTTGTGAAGCCTGTAAAAATGGCATGCCTACCGTCTCCCGGCTTTTACAGATGCCGTAAGTCAATCATGTGCATTGGTTGTAATCTTGATAACTGTGCTGAATCTTGGACCGCTGTGCCCAGAGCCCAGTACCATGATAAAGACACAGTGGTGGTCCCTGCAGTGACCGGCTTACCCTGAGTCTCGTATGGCATGATACCATGACCTTGCCTTGTGTCCTCTCTGCTTAGTCCACATGTGTTCCATAACCATTAGCATTTGTGTGTGTGTGTGTGTGTGTGTGTGTGTGTGTGTGTGTGTGTGTGTGTGTGTGTCTCCTAATTTAGGAAATATAGAAGGAGGGCCCTCTCCAGCACCCCTCTCTGTTAATCCTGCGCCAGCTACCAGCTGGCCCCTAGCTGTGTGTAGTTGACATCTGTCAGGCCTTGGTGGGCCTGCCCTCCACAAGGAATTGGGTGTTATTGGGCTCCTGTGCTTTTGCTATTAAACTGCTAGCATGTACCAAACCTTGTGCTAAGGGTCTTGTACTCAGAAGACCTCCTGTCAACAGAGTTGTGAGGGTTTCAGAGTGCTGTTCCTTAGGTGCTGTTCCTTCATGGAGAGGCTAAGGGTGCTGTAACTGAAGTCAGACAAACTTGTGAATGGATCTCAGCTTCATTCCTTATCCCAGGAGGACTTGGGCAAGCTTCCTCAATGTGTTGAGAAGTTTCCCTAGCTCTGCCTGCTTTGTCTGTACCAGCTTGTTGTATAGCAAAGGTATTCAGAAAGTAGTAACAACAACAAGGTGGAGGACAAAGTGAAGGTAGAGGCTATGACTAACTTCAGGTCCTTAGTTCCTTCTTCCTATGTGGTTAGAGAAGCCTCCTATAGGCCTGGCTGATGAGCAGACACTGTAGCATCTGTTTCCAAACCAACAGCCACTAATAACAATGTACATGTGAAAAGATAGATCCACTTTGAAAGCTACATTTTTCACATAGACTCCTAAGTCAAAGTGCATTTGGTTAGGAGCAGTGTGAGGCTGATGTACTTGAGTTTGTACTGGGGTTCTCTCCCCTAGGGCACTTTGCCTGTCCCCAATTCCAGCATCAAGCAAATGTTTTGTCTTCTTCTAAAACTTTCCACCCTATGGGCTTCAGCTTCGAAAAGAACAGCTGAAGAGGTGTGACTGTTTAGTGGAGATGTGAGGCCTGGAAGTCAGTGGATGAGTGGCAGGGGAGGGCCAAGACTCAAAAAGGACCCTGAAAAGGCAACTGTCACTTCTGCATGGGGTAAATTTCTGTCTTTGTAAAAGAATTCTCACATTAAGATCACTTAACCACTTGGACACTACCCAAGCAAGCCTTCTAACCAGAGCAGTTCAGGGTTCTTCCTGCTGCTGTTTCTAATAACACACCTTTGAAGAAAGAACGGATACAATCCAGAAGCTGCTGCTTTAGAATGAAGCATATGAAACAAAAGAAAATTATTTTTTCTCTTAGATTCCAATCATGACAATTCAAAATGTACCAATTTGTAGAATAGATTACCATTTCTAAGGCAAGAAAAATAAATAGTTCTGTTTAGAAACATCTATTAAATATATTATTTGCAATATTTGTAAACTGGTGTTTACCAAAGATTTTTTGCAAATATTATACTGTTCATAGTGTCAAGTATAACTGACCTGGTCCCTTCCCTAACAGCACCTCTGAGGGCACAGCAAGTGATGTGTAAATACCTTTGCCTTGGCTAACAAACTTAGTGCTAGGCTGGGCTGGCTCAGGGACTGAGATGTCCTGAGCTGCTCTTACCCGATCCGAGACTGCGCCTGGTTTAAGGGAGTTTTTTTTTTTTTCTTTTTTTCCGTGTTACTGGGATTAAACCCAGGACTTACTCATTTGTTTCTTTTTTTACAGATTATTCAGTGATGTTTTACTAACAACTTCTGAAAAGCCACAGTTTAAGGTAAAGCAAATTGTATAAATTTTGGATTTGTGACATAAGTAAATTGGCTTTGAAATTAATTTTTTAAAAACAACAAAAATATTCATAATATGAAAAATTATGAAACAATCTAAATAGCCTATTAGTAGTTACTATTTTGGTCATTTATAATGCATGGGGTTGTTTTGATTTTAGGATTTGTTGTTTTTGTTTTTGTTTTTTTTAACAGACTTGGATGACCTGGAACTTGCAGCAATCCTCTTGTGCCTGCCTCCCCAATGCTGGGTTATAGGCATACACCACCATGCCTAGCTATAGTGTATATATTTAAAAATGTTATCTAATAAAAGTAAAATGTATAAAGGCATTGTAATAATGTGGAAAGTAATTATTATTTAGGCTAATATCAACAGAATAGTGGGATCTGGAAGAGAATATAAACCCAAACATCTGAATCTTAAAAAAAAAAAAAAATCTGGAAAGAAGTCTCAAGAGAAGCAGCAGTGTGATAGGACAGTCATGGGCCCTGGGACTGAAAAGCCAGGGCCGGGCCTTGCACTGCTCTGTGGCTGCTGTGCTAGTAACTAACCATTTGCTGTTGGGGCCGGGCCGTTCTCTGCACTGGGGTTGGCCTGTGCACTGCAGCATGGGAAGTAGCAGCACCCCTGGCTCTCCACCTCTCGTGGCTCTTCAGTTGTTTTTGTTTTTAATTTTGTTTTAGGAATCTCCATATTGGCTTCTACAGTGACTATATCATCATACTAACAGTACATAAGGTTCCGGTTTCTCCACATCCCTGCCAAGACTTGTTATTCTTTTTTACATGTATGAGTATTTTACTTGCATATTTGTCTGTGTACTACACACATGTCTGGTGCCTACAGAGGCCAGGAGAGGGCATTAGAATCCCTGGAACTGAGGTTTAGATGAATGATCACGAGCCGTCATGAAGGTGCTGGGAACCACACTCAGATCCTTTGTAAGAACAGTAGGTACTCTTATCCACTGACCCTTCTCTTAAGCCTAACTGGTTATAATTCCTTATTATTATTGATATTTGCTTGTCTTTTGCAACAAGGTCTTACTTTGTAGCTCAATTTGGCCAGAAACTTGCTATAGTCCAGGCTAGCATGGAGCTCAAATTCTCCTGCCTTGGCTTCTCAAGTGCTGGGATTAAAGACATGTACCACCATGCCAGACTCAATTTCTTTCTTTCTTTTCTTTTTTTTTTTTTTTTTTTTGGTTTTTCAAAACAAGGTTTCTCTGTGTAACTTTGCGCTTTTCCTGGAACTCACTCTGTAGCCCAGGCTGGCCTTGAACTCGCAGAGATCCGCCTGCTTCTGCCTCCTGAGTGCTGGGATTAAAGGCGTGCACCACCACCTCCTGGCTAGACTTAATTTCTTAATTTGTTTTTTTGATAGTGTTCATCATAATGGCTATGAAGGAATATGATATCTTAGTGTGAATTTGATTTGTATTTCTTCAGTGTTGAACATCTTTTTTAGATGGTGAAAAGACAATTTGATAATGCAGATGTTTTTATCATTTGTATATTTTTCATGAAGAAATTTCTATTAAAACCCTTTACCCATTTTTTATCTCTCTCTGTCTCTCTCTGTCTCTCTGTCTGTCTCTGTCTCTCTGTCTCTTTCTCTGTCTCTCTCATTATGTATACAGTGTTCTGCCAGAAGAGAGCACCAGATCTCATTATAGATGGTTGTGAGCCACCATGTGGTTGCCAGGAACTGAATTTAGGACCTCTGGAAGAGTAGCCAGTGCCCTTAACCTCTGAACCATCTCTTCAGCCCCCTACCCCCTTTTCCAATTTTTAAATTGGGTTCCATGTTTTTGTTGTTCATTTGCAGACATTCTTTTATATCTTTTGATATTAAGTCCTTTAAGATAAGTATTAAATATTTTAAATTTCATTATTGGTGATGTCCTTTGTTGAACAAAGTTTTAATTTTGATGAGTCCAAGTTATTCATTGTTTTCTTCCATTGCCTGTGTTTTTAGTATCATATCCAAGAAATCATTTCCAGCTGGGTATGATGGTCTGTGCCTGTAATCTCTGAGGCAAGAGGATCATTAGTTCAAGACCAGGCTGGGCTACAGAAAGTGCCAGGCTAGCCTGGGCCATACAGTAAGACCCTCCCTTAAGAGAAAGAGCCAGTCCTGGAGATGGGTGGTTGCAAACATAGCAGCCCAGGGAGCTGCAGCAGGAGGATCCCAAGTGCATTCAAGTTTGCTTGTGCTAGAGTTCAAGGCTAGTCCAAACAACTCAGGGAGATGCCATCCCCCCCAAAAGATAGACAGGTTAATATGTAAATTAACTTTTTAAATAAAAAGAAAATATTAGCCTGACAGTGGTGGCACACACCTTTAAATCCCAGCACTCGGGAGGCAGTGGCAGACAGATCTCTGAGTTTGAGGCCAGCCTGCTCTGCAGAGCAAGTTCTATGACATCCTGGGCTACATAGACAAGCCCTGTCTTGAAAAACCAAACAAAAAAAAGAAAGAAGAAAGAAAGAGAGAGAGAGAGAGAGAGAGGAGAGATTAAGAAAGAAAGAAAGAAAGAAAGAAAGAAAGAAAGAAAGAAAGAAAGAAAGAAAGAAAGAAAGAAAATATTGACAAATCCAGTGCCACAATGACCCTTCCCTGTGCTTTAAGACAATTAGGTCTTGCACCCATGTTGAATTAATTTTCAAATATGACTTACGATAGTAATCTAATTTTACTACTTTTTATGTAGATATTTAACTTTTTTTTTTTTTTTTTGTTTGTTTGTTTGTTTTTCGAGACAGGGTTTCTCTGTGTAGCTTTGCGCCTTTCCTGGAGCTCACTTGGTAGCCCAGGCTGGCCTTGAACTCACAGAGATCCGCCTGGCTCTGCCTCCTGAGTGCTGGGATTAAAGGCGTGTGCCACCACCGCCCGGCTAGATATTTAACTTTTACCAACACTCTTTTGAAGCAATCGTTCTTTCTTCATTGTGTATGTTTAACACTTCTGTGGAAGGCCATTTGGCTGTGCACACGTGGGTGTGTTTCTGGAACCTCTCATTCTGATCTATTAGCTGTATAATAATTAGTTTGAAACAGTTTTGTGAGATCATGTAATAGGTTTTGATGCCTTGTTCTTCTTTGAGATTGCTTTGGCAATTCTTGAATAACTTGAAACAGTTTGTTTATGTTTTAATTTTATGTATTGATTGCCCAAAAGTGCTGTAAAGGTGAGTGTAGGGGGTGTAGATGGAGTGTGTGGTTTTAACTGGTTTTGTTCTAGAGGACTTCCCATATAATAATGGCTGCTGTGGAGTGTGTTCAGGAGTCAGGGACACCAAACACTTCAATCAGTAGCTCATGTACTGCTTTTCCTTTCAGATTCCCACAAAATTAAAAGAGGCATTGAGAATTGCCAAAGAATGTATAGAAAAGAGACTCGTTGAAGAACAGAAGCAGGTAAGCTGGCTGTAGTCCTTCACTATTAGTGTCCCTGTTCCCTGCCATGAGAGTCACAGTGATTGGCTTTTGACCATTCACTTTAACACTTTGTGCATAGTTGCTCTCAACCAGAATATCTCACAGTCTAGCCCTCAGTCTGTGAGGAACAGCACATGCACAGGAGTGATGAACCTTCATGATTGGGTTTTACTAGGTGGAGTGGTTGGCAGCACTCATTTTTCTGTAGAGAGAGATGGTAGAAAGGAATGGGAAAGTGAGAAGAATTATCATCACTTAGCATACCCTGCTCGCATAGATCTTGACTTGAACCACAAGACAGCAGGCTAAGAAAGACCTGTTTATGTTAACAGTACAAGTCTCATTAGGCTCCTGCTGTAGGTAGAATTTGCTTACACTTGTGGGGACATGGTCTCTTAAAGATTCACCAACATCGAAGACTAACGAGAGCTCAGTCACACCATGGGTCTGAGGAAGAAAGGAAGAGGAGAAAGATCCTAGCTCGAAAGGTAAGCCAGTTGTCTGTTCTTGTGCTCTCTTTTTAAGTTTTTGACTGCATGTGAAGAAAATTCTAAAGCTAATGGTGCACATTTTAATGACACATTTTGTGCTATATCCCAGATCACTAGTTTGGAGCTTAAAACACATGCATGCATGCATGCATGCATGCACGCACGCACGCACGCATGCACGCATACACAGAAGCATAATGGACCATGTAGTTTCCTGGTTTGCTAGGCCCATTATGGCATAAATTGGAGGAAATGGTGGACTTGGGTAGTTATGCCAGCATTCTTGATTTTATTTTCCCCTTTGGCACGTGGCTTCTTCGCTGCATTGGGTTAGGAAGTCAAATAAACCATTCTCTGTAGCTGGCTAAACTGTTTATCTAGAATATTTTTTAACTCTCAGCTAAAGTGTGCCTTTTCTTTGCTTACCACATACTATTCCTTTATTTTTAAAGAAATCAAAACGATCTGCTGTTGAAAACAGCGAGGAGCAGCCAGCAAAGCACAACTCCACTAACTCAGGTAACTAACTGGTCTGGGTGGCTGGAGCCCACCATGCAGAGATGCCAGTCAAGACTCTGTAGGTGCTGTGGAGATTTGACTGAGCAATGCAATGATGAGCGCAGAGATTAGAACTCTGTCTCCAGTGAAAATTGTGACAACAATCATACTCCCACCTCTCCACTGATAGCTAGACTCAGTCATTCAAAGACACGGAGCATTTGATGCGGAAGAGAAATAGGCCCTTCTGTGTACATGGAAATTAGCCTAAATCTTGCCTTCTGCTCTGGAGCTCATGTGGTTGGAAAAAGAGAAGGGAGTTTTCAGTAACCCAGGCAGTTTCAGCCCTTGGGGAATAAGGCATGGGAAGGGAAAATTGAGGACCCATAAGAAAGGGAGGAGCTGAATATGCAAAGAAGAGAGTGATTGAGAAGCTAGGGGCCAAGAGTGAGCCTTGAAAGCCCCACTGTCAGTGTCAGGTGTGGAGGAAGCCCATTCATCTCTTCCTTAACCCAGAGCGAGGAGGGACAGGTGATGAAGCAGAAGTCTTTAGAAGTGAAAGGGCTGGGCATGAGCTTGTGCGTACATGTGGTCCCAGCTACTCAGGAGACTGAGACAGATTATTTGAGGCCATGAATTGGAGATCAGCCTGGACACTGTAGTGAGACTGAATGGATGGATGGATGGATGGATGGATGGATGGATGGATGGATGGATCAATCACAGGTTATGCCTCATTTTCCTTGGTCAATTCAGATAAGAAATGTCTGCTTATACTAGAGGAGATACTGTGAGGTATGCAGGAGAACTGAGATGTACCTTGAAGGCTATATGAAGGCATCTGGAGAATGCCAGAGATGTGGGTAGAGCTGGAAATTGAAAGATTGGAATGCGCCGGGTGGTCGTGCTGCACGCCTTTAATCCCAGCACTCAGGAGGCAGAGCCAGGCGGATCTCTCTGAGTTTGAGGCCAGCCTGGTCTACAGAGTGAGATCTAGGACAGCCTCCAAAGCTACACAGAGAAACCCTGTCTCGGGAAAAAAAAAAAAAAAAAGACTCCCCCCCTAAAAAAAGAAAGGAAGAAATAAGATGAGAATCATGACATCTACCACAGAATCCTAGCCTTGAGTTAGGCACAGGGAGAAGGAAAAGAGGAGGTCCCATTAAGGACCAACATATACTTGGGAATGGAAGCTGCTATGAGTGGCATGTAATTTCATATTTGGAAATCTGTTTGTTCCATAGCTATAGGTTGGGTTTTCATTGGTAGGGGGAGATGCATGTCTCCAACCAGCATGTCTATATACTAGTGACTCTAAGTAGCTAGTTCTTTATAAATCAGAGAAACCTACCCCCTTCCCAAGATTGTGCCTGCTCTCTTTCACATTCAGCCAGAGTGGACACCAAAGAATTCTGAGAGGGCTAATGATGTACCTTAGTTGACAGAATGGTTACCTAGCATACACAAGATCCTGCTTTCAATCCCCTAACACAATAAACTAGGTGTGGTGACACATGCTTGTAATCCTAGCACTTAGGAGGTGGAAACAGGAGGATCAGGAGTTCAGGGTTATCCTCAGCTACATAATAAGTTTGAAGCCAATCTAATTTGAAACCTGTCTAAGAAACAAAAATCATAGCCAGGCAGTGGTGGCACACGCCTTTAATCCCAGCACGTGAGAGGCAGAGGCAGGCGGATATTCAGGTTTGAAGCCAGCCTTGTCTACAGAGTGAGTTCTAGGACAGCCAGCACTACACAGAGGAAACCCTGTTTTGAAAAACCAAATAAATAAAAACAAAAATCATATCCAAGACACTTTAGGAGTTTAGGAAAGCCAAGTACTGGTTATTGGTGGAAATGTGTAGATCAGTTACCAACCCAACTAGAATCACAAGTTCAGTTTTCTATCTTTAAGATCTGTTAGTGCTACAAACAGTAGGAAAGCAGCCTTGTTGAGTTTTACCTCTTCCCTTTTCAGCAGATCAATCCTATTATACAAAGCTGAGGAAGTACTGTGAAGAATGCAAGGTGTGGTTTATCTAGGACCCATCTCCAATGTGTTCATGGGACACCAACACATCCTCTGAGTCATTAGTGGAGTGATAGCTGGAGACCTAACCTTGGAGCTCGTGGTGGCTTTTCAGTGCTGGAAGACAACAGCCCTCCCTTTAGGTAGCTCCAGGTGAAGGAGCTCTAGCTGTCCTTTCCACAGGGCTGTGCTTTCCTATTCCAAACAAGAGGCTTCTGCTGTGAGGGCTACTTCCTTGTTGGGCTGACGGGATAATTTTCCAGCTACAGGGATTTGGGATTTTGCTTATGGTTTTTACCCTAAATGAGGGTGTTTACTGAATTTCATGTAAGAAAACGTCTAGAAAATCCACAGACTCAGGACTGAGCCTCTTTAACTGAGTGTACCTGCTGGTAAAGTTGATCTTCAACAGGTCATGCCTTATTTTCCTTGGTCAGTTCATAATAGGAAGATGTTTGCCTACCGTAGAGGAAATACTGAGAGGCACACAGGAGAACTGAGCTGGGTGTAGTCACACACTGCCTGTAATTACACTGTCCTGGAGGTTGAGGCTAATTTGGGCTACTTAGTGAGACTGCCTCAAATATAAATGGATGAATTTGAGTAAAGCCTGAGTTGGTGTAGTGGTACACACCTTTAATCCCAGCACTGGGGAACCAGAGGTCTACATTCCAGGACAGCCAGAGCTACATAGAAAGACCCTGTGTCAGAAAAGGAGTCTGATGTGGTAGTGTATGCCTGGGCTCCCAGTACTTGGGAGGCTAAGACAAAATAATTGTTGAGTAGGCTACAGGGCATGAATGAAGAGTGAGGAAGGGAAGGAGAGAAGGGTATGTGTGTGAATGCTCCAAGGTGTACTTGCTTCCTTTGTGTGAGACTCCGCCAGACTGCTGTCACCACAGTCATTTGTCATTACCCAAGGATCGGATTGGTTCAGAGAGAAATACTGCAACCAGTGCATATAGCAACCATTTCCCCATTGGTCCATGAGCCTCAGTGACCTGGTGGAGGAAATACACCCTGCACTGGAGGGAAAGCCTGTCACCACTGGGTACATTTCTAAATTTTCTGTCCCTTGTCACATGCTGGGCTAATTACACATCCTCAAACAATGCTGAGTTTCTGCTCATGCCAAGTTTCAAATGTGTGTCTTTGGTCCCCATGAGGATTTCTCTCTTTTTCTTAGCAGGATCTGGGGCCAGCTCTCCTCTCACATCCCCATCATCTCCAACTCCACCCTCCACAGCAGGTCAGTAATGTGTAAGGCAATATGCCTTCTTCCTATCCACCCAAGCATCTCAGGAGTTAGACCTCACCTGTCTTCTCCAGATGTCCATATGCAAATGCAAACCATGTGTTATCTGAAGGGGTTGAGGGGCTGTGCTCTCAGGCTCAGTGCTCAGGGGACAGGCTAGTTTCAGGACTCCTCTGAGTCAGGTCCTCTCTGGCTCAAGCTTGCTGTTGGCTGAAAAGTTTCTTGCAAGGCTCCTTGGGTCAGAGCTTCTCTTGGGGCAAAACAAACACACTGTTGTCCTAGACTTTGTCCTACCTCAGCTTTCTCCTCCAGACCTTCCTGTTGTGAGTTTGTAACCGCAGAGCTGAGGAAAGCCTGGTACAGAGTGAAATATTCCCACTAACTAATTTACTGATAACCATTTGTTCTTTGTTCTGCTCAATAATTATCTGAATAGTTATCATTAACCTTTGTTTCACCTTGTGAATTAAATCAGATACTGTGAGGATTTGGGGGTTTGTTGTTGTTATTGTTATTTGGGGGAAATGTTGACAAAGAATTTGTCTTTGGGATTATTTACAAAAATAATTCTGTGAACTAGTTTCACAATGCTGTCTTTTGTCTTTCCTTTCTGAACTAAAATCTTTCTAATAACCATTTTACAGTCCAGTAAAAACAAGGGGGCAGCACATTTGCTTTTCCTCCTTGATGGCTGAGAGTGCTTACTGTAGAATGTTCTAGGGCTAGAGCCAGTTTTATAGAGCAGAAATGCCAGGTCATGGGTATGATTCTTTTGTCTCTGATTTTCTCAGCAGATTTTGCAAAGAACTTCTAAATAGACAGAATTGTAATAACTATTTGGGCTGACCATAAATTTCTGGAAATCTATTATTCAGACTATTTTGAGTCATTTTCCAGATTATGATATGGTGTTAATTTCCTATTATTTTTATATACTAAAGAAATGGAGAGGATTCTTAAAATTCTTAGCGCAGGCTAACAGGGAAATGCCTGCTTAGTGTGCAGAGCACTCACTGTGTGTGAGCTGTGGTTCTGGGCGGCTTACTCAGGTTCTTGTCTTTAGATGCCTTATTTCATTCATAGTCTGACTCTTCTAGTTACCTTTGCTTTAAATGAGAGTGATTTTGTTGTTGTTGTTGTCATTGTTTTTGTTTTTTTTTATTTATTTTGAGACTGGGTTTCATATATCCCAGGCTGGTTCAAAATTCTACATAACTGAGGATGCCCCTGACCTTCTGATCCTTCCCTCCACCTTTAAGTCCTAGGATTACCTGTGTGCCCAAGAGTGATCTTATATAGTAACAACTTTACATAAAATGAGGTAACTTTCAGAATGAGAGAAGAAAAATGGAATTTTTTGGTAGTGCCCAGTCAATATGGGGTAGCAGGGAACAATGTTGTAAGCTGGAGAGAACACATTTGAAGCCCAAAAGCACGGTGACTGTCAGGGGAAGCGTCTGAGCCCAGTTAGTGATTCCTTTTTCCTTTATTCCCTTTTGATTTTGTTGATGAAATTATTGACAGAATTATTCATCCTAAAGACCATGCTCCGGGCTGGAGAGATGGCTCAGAGGCTAAGAACACTGGCTGTTCTTCCAGAGGTCCTGAGTTTAATTCCCAGCACTTATATGGTGGCTCACAACCATCTGTAATGAGATCTGGTCCCTCTTCTGGCTTGCAGGGATACATGCAAATAGAATACTGTTTACATAATAAATAAATAAATCTTTAAAAAAAAGACCATGCTCCGATCTCTACTGGCTATTTCTTGTAATGAATCTCAGAGCATTTGCCTAGCAACCTAGCATTTCAGGTTCTAAGCCAGATACGCACAGTAGGTCTGCTTACCTCAGATGTATTCAAGATACACTTACATGTAGCCCGTGGTTTGACAGGAACTGTATGTAGCCTGGGTTACCAAGAGAAGCAGACAGATTCTAGCCAATCAATGTCCAGTGTCTCAGAAGCTCTAAAGTATTGGAAGCAGTTCCAGCAGACAAAAACTTCCTATGAAACCTGGAAATATCTTTTCCCAGTGGTTGCCCTGAAATAAAAGATCTTTTTCGACAGGCAGAGGTAGCACATACCTTTAATCCTATAACATTCAGGGAGGCAGAGGCAGGTGGATCTCTGAATTCAAGGCCAGCCTGGTCCACAGACTGAGTACCAGGCATCCAAGGCTATACAGAGAAACCATGTCTCGAATTCTCTCTCCTTCCAAAAAAGATCTTTATCAAAAGTTAGCCTACCAGCAAGCAACATCTTGAGCCTTGTCCTGTGCAAAACACTAAGGAGACTTAATTGTAGGTAGTAGTGTTATGGGAGGTAGAGGCTTGCTCTGCTCTTGGGGCTTCTCCTGGGTGAGAAGCATGATTCAGCCTTGTGGGGCAGCTAGGTCAAGCCCTTCAGAAGAGGAGGGATCACAGCAGGTCAGCTTTGACAAGTTGAGTTGAGCAGTAGGACTTCTTCCCTACAGCTTCAGTTTTAAGTGATCATGGTAACTAGATGAGGTCTTGTTCTTAGCTACTTAGGATTTGGCAGAGGTGAAGTGGCAGACATTTCTAACTGAAGAGCTAATAACAAATGATCCCTGTCTAGCAACTGGGACCCTCTCTGCAGGTGTTTCCTTTGGAACTTGTTGAGATCCACACTAAATTAAGTCTGGTGGCAGTTGCATTTGGTGGAGTAGCATTCTCTTTAGTAAAGCCCTGTTTTTTTTTTTTCCTTAGTTAGAAAATTTCTAATACTTTTCTACTGTTCCATGACTCATAAAGGTCTCTTTGGGAAGCTTTAAAATTCCTTTATCCCAACACATCTCATGCCATGTGTCACAAGGAGTATTCCTTCTGTACATTCATGTGGAGCTGAGTGTTTTAAAATGTCCTAGTTTGCACATATACAAATATTTGCTCTCACTGTATTCGGTGAACAGACTGTTATGCCCATATCTCGGGGACCCCCAAAAGACCACCAAAGATACCTAATTCCATATGTAAAAGCAAAGAGCTTTTATTTTCAAGCTCCCGGCTTGGTCTGTCTGTCTGTCCGATGCAGCAGTGAGAGCAGGGAGCCCCGAGCCCAGGCTGGGTGTAGTGTTTTTATCACAGCAGAGGTTGGAGTGAGGGGATTTCCAAGGTTCAGGACCCTGATTGGCTGACTTTTGTCTAGGGGTATCTGTAAAAAAGAAAATAGGTGTGTGCTAGACTAAGGGACATCTTATCTAATGGTTGGAGTGTTTGGAATGACAGGTACTTCCCCTTAGATGTTGGCTCTCCCTGGGTGGGGTCAGCTTATGGCTTTTCCTGGGTCTGAGTGTTGCCTGCCAGTAAGCCTGCCACAGAAACTGTGTCTGGGCCTCTAAGCCTGTCATGGCAGCTATGTGGTCAAACTGTTTTGGGTCCCCCACACAGACAACAGGCCTACTGTCTTGATTTCCTCTTATATTTATGGGTGTGTCTGTGTGTAAGGATGCACATGTGTTGTGCAAATTTGGGGGAAAGCCAGAAGAAGTTGTTGTTTCCCTGGAATTACGGGCAGCTGGGAGCCTCCCCATAGGCATGTCAGAGATGGAACTCAGGTACTCAGGAAGAG